TTTTTTTTTTAACTATCTGTTATTTTAGAAAAACTGATGATGGTGGAAAACACCGAAACGTATTGATAAATAGAGACAATAAATGACTGAAACCCAGGAATTAATTTTGATTTGGAATTGAAACACAGTCAGGAAAGTATGTACAATTTGAAATAAAATCCACCTACTCATTTAGATCGATCGGCAATAGTTTGCAAATTTTAATTAAATTTGATGTTGGTGTGAGGATTCTTCGTGACGATTTTATTTTTTTTAACCTGAAAGTGGAACGTTGCTCTAAGACAACTCCCGATAAATTTTTTGTTTAGAATTGAACAAGCAATAAAAGGTTTAAATCAGTTTCTGCTGTTTCAAATATTGTCTTTTCTCGGCCATATCTCGTTCTCCTAGAGTTTTTAAACAGAAAAAATGTGCACTTGCTTCTAATCGATGTTTCTCACAATTTTCGAAATAGTTCACATAGAAGTGATTTTTTGAACTAATTCAATTTCGGTCCCTAGTGTTTCCGCAAATGGACATTTTTAAACTAAATAAAAAAAAGCCGACAATAATCCTTAACAAAGAACGCGAGGAAATTCGGCCTCTCTTAATATTCTTCTGAGAGGCAAAATAGGCAAATAAAGATGGAATAAATGGGATGGTTTGCAGTTTTTAACTGTTTTACGTCCGATTAATCCGCTAGCATTTGGGTATCCGTATCAGATGCTCCCTACCAACATTGAGGCAAGTTTATTCTCAACCATCGTTCGTATTAAACGCCCCGGTAAAAAGTACATCCCCAAAAATCCGAGTTACTCCACTTTCAGGTAAATTAAGTCTCATGAAAGCCGACCTTTTCCAAGGTAAATTAATCCTGTCAGAAACAGGAGAGACAGCTCGGAATCATCAGTTTATTAATAGATGGTGTATGCCGGAGTGAACACAGCCGATTTGTACAAGAGCAAAGCAGTCTCAGAATGTCAGTTCCATTCGCTCAATTTTTAAACTCATTTCGGTTATACCGCCCTTGTGGATTCCTTGATTTGTCTTTTTAGTCGAAGGGCCGTTTTTAAATGCTTCACTCGAATATTGCGGGCTTTTGCAGTGAGCGGGGCCATACGGGTAGTGCTGTACACTTTTTTAATTGCTGGGTTTTTCGTATAAATTTTTGCTGGTTTGAGAAGGAAATTAGATAGAAAACGCAATTAAAGGTTTTGGCAAATCAACTGGTATGCTTCCTTTCAGTGCAATTAGGTTTGCGCTCTTTGACAACGTTTGTTCCGCAATAAGTCCAAGCAGTCATTAGCCGTCTGGCCAATATACAGAGCATGAATGCAGGGGATTTTCAAAGGTCGATTTCCATCATGAAAATAAGCAGTTTTTATTCGTACCATTAATCACCGGGCTTTGGTGCGCCATCGCTCAATTAACGACGAACGCACCGACTCCATTTTTCCTCCTGCATGTTCCGAAATTCTGACCGCATAAAACATAAAACTTTGCTTTTGCCGAGGAAAAAGTCCGGAAGGGAGTCAGCATTAAAGCGTAATTCAAAATGGATGGTTTTTCGTGACTGCTCTGGATCAGGAACATTAATCATTATTAGACGAATCGGGGGTGGAACGTTTTATATCGCTCCAGAATCATAATTTCTACTTAGCGAGGACAGGGAGGCTGGGCCTAAAGTTTCCACGAAAATTTCATATCGGGTCGATAAAACGGAGGAAGCCATTGTATTTTTTTTCGTTTCGTGGACTATTTTCCTGGCTTGATGCAGAAGGCACTGTTAGCTAAACAAGAGTGTTCTTCGAGCGATACAAGAGGTGACTAATCCCCATTAGCTGCACGATGACAACGCTGAACAAGGACAATCTATCACAGTAAATGCCAAAGTTTTAATAATAGCAGGAATAAATGCAAGCATTGGTAGTTTCTCGGCAAATGGGAGATTTGTTAATGACATATTTCGTGTCCAATTCTGTTGTGTTATTAGTCCGTAAGCTGAGAGATTAAGCAATAACATAGGGGAGTCGTTAAACTGGGGAGAAACTGACCGGTGGTCAAGCGGAACTGCCGAATATGAGCTTGTGGATCCGAGGATTTAGTCTGCACGTCACAAAAGAGCGAGTTTCCAAGTATTGGCTGCAAAATTCTAACCAGAGTCCTTAGACTATCCAAAGTGGGGTTTTACTATTTTTTTTGGAAGCTTTCGCTCTGATTATAGTCGATTTTAATATTATATTTCTGCCGTTAATAGCAATTGAATTAACCATAAAATTCCCCAAAAAAATTACATGAATATGTTAGTGTTCTGCCGTTAAATTTGCTTGAATATTAAGTGTCCATGGTGGGAAAATCAATGGCGTTCAGTTGCACTAAAAACGT